CCCTAAACCCTAAACCCAAAGCCTATGAAGCAGACCTCTCCAGCGCGGCTCCTTGAAAGAGGCCGGGCGGCCAGCACAGCCCTCGGCTTCGTAGACCTTGTTCAGCCACTCCGGGCTGCCGACCTCGCTTTAAGCTTCTTTTGGGGGGTTTAGGGTTTAGGNNGGTTTAGGGTTTAGGGTTTAAGTCCTCGCTTTAAGTTTTTTTTTTGGGGGGGGGGGTTTAGGGTTTAGGGTTTAGGTCCTCGCTTTAAGTTTAGGGTTTAGGGCACCCCTACCCCCCAAAACCCTCGACCCGAAACCCACTCAATCTTGGGACGTGGAGATCGACGACCTAAACCCTAAACCCTAAACCCCTAAACCCTAAACCCTAAACCCTAAACCCTTAAGGGCCAGTTTAGGAAGTCGGGGCTTTCGGGTTTTAGCGGTTTCGCGATCTTCGGGCTAGGTTACAGGAGCACCATCGGCGTAACTGGCGGTAACATACTTCTTAATATAGGATAGTTCTCTAAATTAGGGTCCCTGTGGGGGGTCCTTTTTATACAGGTGCGGTACTATATTGGGGACCTAAAAAGGGACCCTGATTTAGAGAACTACCCATATAGCATAGGGCTATGAATTCGAACCGGGTTGCTGGGCAAACCACAATATGTCTGTAACAGGCAGCCCTGATGAACAGTACTTCTCCCTCTTCACGCTTCTATAAGGCATGACGTATTGTCAATGCAACTTGCCCCAGACAAGTGCCTGAACCCTACTCATTATAGGGTTTACGGTTTAGGGCTTTATGAAACCCAGAGCCTTCATGGTCCCGAACCAAAATCCTGATGGAATCCATGTAAGATCTTTTTAGAATTCGAAGCCTTACAGAACCCCAAACTCCCATACAAACCTTAAAAGAACCTTGTCGAGGTTGTATGGCACCCTTGCAAAATCGCACCCCCTACAGTCTGGGTCGAATCTTGCGCCAAATTTCTGCAATAAGTGGCCGGGGGAAAGCAGGCTTTCGGGTTTCGGGCTTGTGGGCCCTTATGGGCTCATTAGAAGTTGTGTCGTGTTCGGGACTTTTTGGGCCTTGGGAAGCCGAGTCACCCAGACTTGCCGCAAGGGGCCCAGCTTGAGCATGAAGATCGGCCTCTATCTCGGGTGAACATGGGACTTAGTAAGTAAGGTTATAAGTCCCTTAATTGGGTGGTTATAAGTATAGCTACCCTAATTATATACTTACTAAGTCCCATGATCCTTGAAGTATCTCGGGTGAACATTCGTTTAGGGCTTCGGGTTTTGAGTTTCGGGTTTAGGATTTCTGCTCTAGGCAGTTCAGGGCTTAGAGGGGGTTTCTGGTTTGGGCGGTTTGGGGTTTTGGTGGTTTAGGGTTTTGGTGGTTTAGGGTTTTGGTGGTTTAGGGCTTTTAGGTGCTTCAGGGTTTAGGGTCTAGGGCGTAGTGCTCGGGGTTTTACCGGAACACCACGGATCTTGATAGTGTATGCATAGGAGCTTGATATCTTGGCGAAGCTCACGTCGGATCCCAGGTTCAGAAGTTTAGAACACCAGTGCTTCATAGATGTTCTGGAGGGGTCCACACGGGCTTGCGAAAGGTGCACATAGGGACTTCATAGGAGCTTCCCAGCAAACCTGCAATGCCAAAATGCTGTCCCCAATCACCCCCTGCTGAACTTCTTGCGAAGTTGTCTTCGCAACACTCACTCTTGATCTGCCTCATGGAGCACCGGCAGACACGAATATAGGGCGGTTAACAATCAGAATTGGAATTGGGGCCCCCTGAAACAAGTATTGGTGCTGAGTTTAGGGCCCCGATTCTCCCAACCTCTGCAGTGCCTCAGACACCAGGTTCTTACTTAAAGGATCATGGGACTTTTTAGTAAGTAAGGTTATAAGTCCCTTAATTGGGGTTATAAGTATAGTTACCCTAATTATAACCCTACTTACTAAGTCCTATGATCCTTTAAGTAGGCTTTTCTCCACGAGTGGGGGCATGCCGCTTTCCTTCGCACCATGCAACACAACATCATGAGCGACGGGCGAGCTTGAAATAGAAGCAATGGAGACCTGCATCGGGTACTCTGTATCTGTCACCACCCGAGCCGTCTGCGCCAAGATCGTATCAGTTGCGTGGCCATGCTGCAGACTCTCCCACCTTTCTTACGTACTGCTACCTGCACACCACCACATATCGGCTCACCCCAAGTGACGATGGATCCATCAGCCTTGATAGCTGCGAAGGCTGCATCAGTTGCTTGCACCTGTTGCACATCTGTCAGCTGATGCTGCACAGCACTGCTGCTACCGCCCGACATCGGATCACCCCAAGTAATGACAGATCCATCACCCTTGACGACAGCAAAGGCACCACCATTTGCCTGAATCTGCTGCACATCCGTCAGCTGATGTTGCACCGCACTGCTGTCACCACCCACCATCGGATCACCCCAGGTAGTGACAGATCCATCACGGTTGACGACAGCAAAAGCACCACCATTCGCTTGAATGTGCAACACCTCCCTCAACTGATGTTGCACAGCGCTGCTGTCACCACCCTTGTCCGGACAACCCCAGCTGATGACGGATCCATTTCCTCTGATAGCAGCGAAAGCGAAATAAGTCGCTTGAATATGCTGCACATCTGTCAGCTGATGCTGCACACCACTGCTGTTACCACCCGACATCGGATCACCCCAGGTAATGACAGATCCATCACCCTTGACGAAAGCAAAGGCACTACCACTTGCTTGAATCTGCTGCACATCCTTCAGCTGATGTTGCACCGCACTGCTGTCACCACTCGACCGTCTCGACCACGGCACCCCTCACGTGACAACAGATCCATCATCCTTAATCGCGGCAAACGCATGTTGAGTCGCTTCAATCCGCTGCACAGCTGTCAGCTGCTGTTGCACAGCACTGCTGTCACCACCCGAGTCTGCTTGACCCCGGGTGATGACAGACCCATCAACTTTGATAGCAGCGAACGCGAAAAGAGTTGCTTGAATCTGCTGCACATGGCTCAGCTTATTCTGCACAGCACTGCTGTCCCCACCAGCGAGCCGATCACCCCAGGTAACGACGGATCCGTCAGTCTTGATAGCGGCGAATGCGTGCCGCGCTGCTTGAACTTGCTGCACATCTGTCAGCTGATGTCGCACAGCACTGCAGTCACCACCCCGGTCCGGACAACCCCAGCTGATGACGGATCCATTTCCTTTGATAGCAGCGAAAGCGAAATAAGTTGCCTGAATTTGCTGCACATCCGTCAGCTGATGCTGCACAGCACTGCTGTCACCACCGAAGTCCGGATGACCCCAGGCGCGAACGGATGAGTCGTCCAGGATCGCAGCAAAAGCAACTCTCGTACCGCATACTTCCACCGGACGCGCATACAATGTCAGCAAGTCCTCATTCTGCAACCCGGCCTTCAGAACCGTCTCTCTTCCATTCAGAACGCCTCCCCCGCAGTTCAAGAGATGAGCCCTGCCGACTCCCAGAGCACTCTGGGCACGAAGTTTCAATGATTCCACAGAGTCATGCGGATTCGTGTTCAAGGAAACTGTCTTGCCGCTCACGAGGCTCACCTTAACGGTCAGCGACATGATCTTCGGCTTCGCCGGCCCCCGAAGGATTAGTGGCTCGGAAGCTCTAGTCTGAAAGCATAGGTGTCGGGTGCGTCCTCAAGAGTGACCTGTGTCATGATTGCGCCTGATGCCTTGGCTTTGGCCTCAAAACACGATAGGGCATGGGGCAGATTGCAGGTTAGTGCTTGCATAAGTGCTAGGGCTGTTAGATCGTATACGGCTTCTGACGGATGGCTTTCCCTTCCATGCAGTTCCCTCCAAAGATTTGGGCGGTGGAGGTTTTGCACAAACACGTACGGTTTAGAGTTAAGGGTTTCGTGGGTTTGGCATTTGGGGTGTCGGGGTTTGGGGTTTGGGGTTTCTGGCTTAGGGTTTGGGGCTTGACTCCAAAAGTAACAGCTTCCAACCGAACACCGAAGACCTCTGGAGCGCCCTGAGCCCAACGCCCCTACAAAAACACTTGGAACAAGGTTGCTACAGGAGCTCGAGGGTTTCTTTAAAGACGGCCTCTGCTGCACAAGTTTCGTTAAAATTTCAAGTGCCCCCTACCCTAAACCCTAAACCCTAAACCCCCTGCCTTCCCTGGCAACCTGAAGCTGTCGAGTGGCCCATGCTTGCGGCGCATGTCGCAAAGAATGTCTGGAAGCGACCTCCTGCAAGCAGAAGCCAGGTCGAGACATGGCATCATTGGGTTTAGGGTTTAGGGTTTAGGGTTTAGGGTCGAGACCTAGCATCATGGCAATTGCCAAGTATCCTTCGATTTAGTTTGCTGTTAGACGCAACCCCTACTGTAGCCGATGGACTGTGCCTTGTTGTAATGGGAATATTACGTACTGCGAAGGGATGTAAAAATATTATGTACTGCGAAGGGATGTAAACACCTAAAAAAAAGGGATGTAAACACCTAAAACCCCAAACCACTAACACCCTGAACCCTGAAACGGCTTCCCGAAAGCTGCCCGCAACCCTAAACCCCTAAACTCTAAACCCTTACACTCGAAACCCGACACCCCAAAACCCCAAAACTCTTTACTACACCCCTCGAAACCCGGAGCCCTAAACCCCGAAACCAAAAGGGCAAGAAGAGGCTCCGATCCTCCGTGCGACCAGGGCCCACAAGACCTCAGTTTGAGACTCCTATCCCGAAGCCTCGGTTTAGGGCTTATAGGGTTTAGGGTTTAGGGTTCAGGGTTTAGGGCAAGTATTTCACCTTAAACCGAACAAGTTTAACCCTAGGCCCTAAACATCATGATGCCGAAGACGCCTTGTTCTGAAAC